CCTCTCCTCTATTAAGGTAACATTTGAGCAGATATTTAAATTGAATAAGGAAACCAGCCATGGAGTTATACTGTGAGAGCATTCTGGTTAAGAAACAAAGTATAAAGGTCCCAGAACAGAAACCTGTTTGGCATATTGCCATGTTCATGGAATAGGAAGGAGGCAGGAGTAGAGCAGGCAAGCAAAGAATTGTAGAAAATAATGTCAGAAAAGTAACTAAGATGAATACACAGGACTGAGAAGCCATGATAACAATTATCAATTTTATTAAGTGTGACTGGATTGCATTTAAGAAAATGGGAGAAGAGGAAGTAGAAACAAGTTACACAGACAATTCTTTTGAAGGCTTTTGTTATAAAGGTGGGCAGAGGAATTGGACCTTGGAAGGACATAAGGTCCAGGAAAGCTTTCTTTTTTTTCTGTTATTCCATTCTAATTATATGAGAGAAACTTACAGATATTATAAGAGAGTGGAACAGGCTAGTGGTTAAGAGCATGGCTTCAGGTGCCAAAATCCCCAGGTTTGAATCTTAACTCCAATGACCTTCAGCAAGTGAATTAACCTCTCTCAGGGCCACACTTTCCTCATCTGTAAATTGTACCTATCTTATAGCTTGTTGTAAGGATTAAATAAAACATAATGTACTAAAATTGCTTGTGCCCCAAGATCCTCTTTTATAATGATACAGCCAATAAAACATAATGTACTAAAATTGCTTGTGCCCCAAGATCCTCTTTTATAATGATACAGCCAATAATGGTTGCAAATGGAACTCAACCCACGTCTGTTTTAAACCAAAGGGGGAGGGGGGGCGGCACAAAAATAAATAAATAAACAAACAAACAAACCAAAGGCCACTATGCTTACTAAGCAAAAATTAGGACTCCACATTCCTTTTGACAGCATTACAAATGTCTAATAAATGCTTGAAAAACTAAAAACATGGAATGCATTTGAATACTTTCCCTCACCCAAGTGGCATATTTATTGTAGTACAAGATGAGATTTTACAAGCATTACAGGAGATTCAGGACATTATAAATGGCTTGGTATTTCACTTGAAACTCTGATAATTGAACCAGATATAGTTTATGCAGATAGCGTTTCCACATTATTTAGCATTTTGATCAATTGTCAGTCATGAATTCCAAAATATGTTAACTGCCTGGGCTTAAATATACATGTATTATTCAAATATCAGAGTTGAACCTTTATTTTTAAAATTCCTTTTATAGCAGTGATCACAAAATGGACTGGTTACATCAGAATTATCTGGTACATTTATAAAAACACAAATTACTGGGCCCACCAGGATTTTCTTAACCAGTAATCCTTAACTAGAGAAATTACATTTTAACAAATAGATGAGCAGCCAGGTTTGGGAACCTCTTTAAATATGTACAAAAGACCAACATTACTTAAACTTGATTTCTAAATATGAAATGAGTATCATACTACTAAAAGTATCCACACTTAGAACAGTGGCTCTCAGACTTTAGCATGCATCAGAATCACCTGGTGGGGCGTGTTAAACTATTGAGCTAAAAATCTGGGCATGGGGGCCTTTGCCTTTCTAAAAGTTCAAAGGTGATGGTGATGCTGCTGGTCTTAGAACCACACTGTGAGAACTGCTCTAGACTCTGACAATACTGAATTTGAAAGCTTTTCCTGAAAGTTGCTCAGCTGTCCTTAATAACGTTATTGAAACTCTCTAGCCATCATCTGTAAAATAGGATTATAAATCTCATATATTGTTTTAAAGGTTAAATGACAATACAGGTGTCATAACAACTAGCACGTGTCAAGCACTCAGTAAATGTCAGCTGTTTATATATTTTGTTAACTGTTGTTATAATTAAGACAGATTTCTGATCTAAATTTAACTGGTAAGGAATAAATATAAACAACTCAATTTAGAATGTATCTACATACCTTTCACCTAATAAAGTCACACAAACTCCTCTTTGCCATAGCTGTTATTGGAGACCTCTTTACATCTTTTCCAGTCTTACCACACTGCTTGAAACTATCAGGAACACTACTGCCTGGGATAAACAGTCATCTCTTTCATACCTTTACTGGTCCTGGCCAGAGCTACCTAGTCCTCAAGATAACATGTTGGATCATCCATCAGTCCCACATAGTATCATAGCCCCCCTTACCTAAACTTAAAAATCTTTCCAAGCCCATCTGGGGGATGGTCATGCTGGAGACTCAGACTTGTGGGGGGAGGGGGGAATGGGCATTTATTGAAACCTTAAAATCTGTACCCCCATAATATGCCAAAATAAGAAAAAAAAATCTTTCCAAGCCATAATGGCAGTCCTTTCCATAGGTCCCCTCAGGAGCCCAACTATGAACTAATAATAAATTTCTACTCCCCAAATCAGAGGAAATGGGAGTTCCTGCTGCTCAGCCTTAACACAGACACATAACCAGTTTTCCTGAAATCCCAAAGCATTTTTCAGTGGAAACACTGTCATAAATGGTGACTCAGTTCTGGAGCACTAATAGTACAGATACTTAATAGGGTATTAAATAGGCTTCTATAAACTGGCAAAGGCAAACAAGTATCATTTGTAAGATATACAGAAACATACACAAAAACTCCATTCTAAGTTCCACACAACCCTCACACTGATTTTTTTTTCCTTCTCAAACATTCATACAACACCCTTTTGCTGAGCCTGCATTTCCTTCTGCCTGGAATTCATGCTGTCCTTGGAAGTTTCTATTCCCCTTCAATAACCAAGTGGAGGGTCTTCAATGAATGCTTTTCTGACAACTATCATGCCCCAAGTACACATCAAAACACTCTTCTATCTCCTCTATGCTCCACAGCATTTTAGATCTATGTTTACAATGATCTGTTTCTATCATATTTGATTTTTTCCTCCCCAACTTTTTATTATGAAAAGTTTCAAATATTCAGAAAAATTGAAAATTAACAGTTCCACAACATTATCTATATGTAGTTGTATGGGAGCTTTTGGAGATTAAGGACCTCGTCTATATATTCCCATATTTAACCTGGTGCATAGCGCTTATTTGAGTGATCAATAAAAATTCTACCAATTGTTCAATTTAATACTCTCACTGTGCAAGACATACAAATTTCAAATTTAAACAGCAAGCTTTGATTGTACAACTATGAACCTTCTGCAGGTCAGTTTAATCACTTCCTTTAAATAAGTTTGTTCTGCAATAAATATAGTATTTGGGGTTCTGAACTATTTAATTTGGCATCACAATGCTCCATAAAGGCAAAGATCATGTCTATTTGTTGTTAGATACATAAACAGGTACACCAAATTTTTTTAAAAGAATACTTTCAACTACTGAAAATGTTAGTTAAGAAAGTGGAAGTGAAACAGTGAAGCAGAATAATGGAAGGACAATAAAGTACAGATTTGAAGTCAGATCTGGTTTCTAATAAAGACTCAAACGCTGACTTGTAGCAAAAATTTACTAAAGCATTAACTATTAATTTTCTTAGATAGAAATAGTATTGTGGTTATGTAGGAAGATGTCCTTTTAGGAGGTGCATACTAAAGTATTTAGAGGTGAAAGTGACACCTACAACTTTCAAATGGTACAGCAAATATGTATGTGTGTATGTTACCTCACCTCTCCAAGCCTCGATTTCTAAGTCTTTAAAATGGGGATGATAATTTAATATATACTTCACGGAAAGGAGAAGAGCGAATGAGAAAATAAGTGAAGCAGTTGGTACACATAAGACTCAGTTAATGGCAACTGCCATTATTTTATCTGCCTGAAACAAACAAATAAAATATACATGCTTCATTAAATAATTTATAATAGCAAAATAAAATTTTGTCTGAGTGTAGAGCGAGGATACTAGGTGCTAAGGTCACCCATGCTTTCTACCCCCACAGTTAAGCCTTCCTTCCAGCACGCTAAAACTAGACAACTATTAGCCACAGGCCTTCAAGAGTCGTAAACTTCCAAGAAGTCATCAAAAACCTCGTGAAAGAGATCCATCCAATGGTCTCCACCTCAACCCTCCTCCCTCAGAGCGCAGGAGGATGCAACACCCTTCAACTGATGAGGTGCCGGAGTGACTCGCAGCCTCGGTTCGTACCAGGGAAAGCTTCGAGGCACGAGGCTTTTGTTCTTTTAAAAAGTGGGTGTGGAAGCGACAAGGAGAGGAATAAAGACTGAGCAATGAAAATAAAAAATAGCCACCACTACTCACAGCAGTCCCCGAACTGGAGGCTGCCCACTTTGGTGGAGCGAGTCGCAGAGTGGGGCAGAAGCTCGGCAGTTCCCTTCCAGCTGCGCTGCAATTTCTGGCGTCTCAAACCCAAGAAACGAAAAGGGGAGGCAGTGGGGAAAGAGGAGATACTAAGAGGCAAAAGGACCTTCGGGGCTGTACAGTCGCTCCACGCCCACGCTCTGGCACATGCCCCTCGTAGGAGCACGTGTGCAGATTCCGCAGAGACAAAGCAACTGACCAGCAGCGGCCGCAACCCTCAGGGAATCAGGTTCCGCGTCTCCGGCTCTCCCTCGGTCTCGGGGCCCTCACCTGCCACGACTGCGGTCGTCACGCGAGCTGCTGGAGATGGCCGAGCCCATTCAGGTCTAGGTTTTCTTCTTTTTATAATCCGGGGCAGCGGGCAGGGGCGAGGAGCTCGTCAAGAGACTTCAGCTGTAGGCGTGGACGTGGGTTTCTTCCTTCTGTAGCAGCTGAGGGGGCCACATAGAGGTACCTCAAGCGCTACTACACCTTGCCCACATCCGCCACGCCTCTCCCCCAGCCCTAGTCGGGTCTTACGCGGAAACCTCACCGGGCGGAACGATTTCCGGCGAGAGCCAGATGATCCGCCCTGACTTTTCCTGACTGAGGTTCCACGGACTACCGTCTTAACGACTCGGGTAGTTCCGCTTCCGGCGGCACCAGATAAATTGCGAGAGGACCCTTAAATCCTGTCGTTTGAATTTAGGACCACCTTGGTGAGTGGTCGTTCTGGTGTGTTTTGTCATACCTACTGTTTTTTAAACTGAGGCGTAATCTGACAGTAATTTCAAAACCGTTCGCCTTTAATGACCTAAGGAAGGGTTTAATTGATTCTGTGTAGACACTGCGCCTGCGCCCTTGGGGCGAGAGGGCCTTTGCGACATCCCGAGCGAGCTGAGCAGAAGGAGCGAGTGATGTTGTTGGGCCTGGAGAGGCGCCTTACTCAGTGTAATCGAGTTTTTAGTTAATGGTCATTTTTCTGGCTATACGAAATTTAGCTGGGCCTCGTGTTCAGAATCAGTTAACGAGCCGTCGAAACTCTTTGGAAATGCTCCCTGACAGTTAAAGTAGCGTTTGAAACTCGGAGCGCTTGAGTACATTCAGAAGGCGAGTGCAGCACTTGGTTGACGTTAAAGAATTCTCCCCGTTACTTTGCCATCGTTGTCATTTAATCTGAACTTATGCCCCCAAATTAAAATCCGTGGCGAGGGAAAACCTGAGCTAAAGGGGAAATGTTGCCAATAGTTTTAAAGGAAAAATGTACGCTTTGTGTGAATTTTCCTAAAATGGGCATTTCCGAACCAAAGCAGATACATTTAAAAAGGAAATTCATTTATCCCATGTGGTTTCATGTGTCTGCATATGAAGATGAAGGCATTTTTTTTGAAAAATGAATTTGTACGCTGAAGTGAAGCATATTATACAGAAGTGTCTGGTGTATTTAGATTTCCCAGTCCTTGACTTTGCATACAATTGTGGGTTTTCATTTTTTTGAGGATTAAAATAGTATAATTTAAAAGTCATATTCTCACCCCAAGTTAATGTGTTTATTGAAATAGTACAGATTTTAAGTTGGAACACATGTGTATTATAATCCATTAAAGGTTACATTGGTAGGTAGCCTTGATGGTTTTTACCCTTGGTGAAACACCGTTAAATCCTAATTTTATTTAAAGTAATACCTAATTGCCTTTATTGGACACAAACATAAAATTATCAAAGAAATCAAGCAATAAGTATTTGTTAATTTTATTTGATGTCATGCAAGGGACATAGTGCAAAAAGTTCAACCAGTTGTGACCCTGACATACCTCTTGCAAAACTAGAAGTTGTAATCAGCCACCTTCATTACTTTTTCTTTTCCTACATGTTTAAATACACAAGTAATTATTTTAATAGAATTTCTTGAATATATGAACATATCCAAGGAAGTCCTAAAGTACTATTTATTCAAACCACTTAATTCTCCCTTGTAAATGATACCTTTAGTAATCTTTGAGTAAGGAAGATATTTGTACTGAATATTATTAATACAGCTTAAAACCATTTTCTCATATTTTGAAATGGACTGTTTCTAGGACACAAGTTGTGAATAGGCTTTGAAAAAATTATTGGTTCTTTTAAATTGTTTTTGTATATAAATACCAAATATTAACAACAAAACTTTTAACGACTTCAAAGGCTATGCGTTTTGTAAACTGATTTTTCTTTCTTAGGCATTTTCCATTTCTTCTTATCATCTCTCAACCTCCAGAACCAAGTATACAACACCTGACTCTTCTGGGTTTTCTTGTTAGCATTAAAACATGAATAAACGTTGCTATAAAGCATAATCACTATTAGTGAAAGAAAAGAGATTTTAAAATCTTTTTCCATGTAGATAAAGATTTTGAGAAAGAAAGAATTCTCTGTTACTTTAAACAGCCTGACATGAGTGATGATAATACATAAATATAACAATAATTATATATTGCTTTAGTATTTGCAAAGGACTTTTCAAATCCATTATCTCATTGATCTTCATACTTGTGAAAAAGGTGGAGTAGATATTATGTCCTTTTTCCAAACTTGAATACTGAGGCTTAGGTACATGTTACATGCCTGAAATTCTGACTCCCCAAGTCTATATCTTCTTAGACACTCCCTACTTGTAGTTCATACATGTGAAAATAGAGCATACTGTTTTCTGAAGTGAAATAGGTAACCGTTGGAACTTTTGCTATTTTTTTAATTAATGTTACGTCTCCTGTCAGGAAATGCAGGTAATTCTTTCGTCATTCACAAATAGTTGAAGCCCACTGTATTCCAAACACTATGTTAAAGAATGTAAACATAAAAAAATTAATAAGACATTCCTATTCCTTTTTCATAATCTAAATTACCTGTTACAATAATCACTTTATAACTTGTCTAACAGAGGCCTGAATCAAGTTTTATAAAAGCTAAAGATAACAAGTAATTGAGTTACTAGTACAACATGGAGGGAAAAAACAGAAAATTTGAAGCAAGAGACACCAAGGTTCAAATGTCAGCTCATGCACTTACTGTGTTGCCTTGAGTAAACTGGACAATCTGTGAATCTCCATTTTTCTTATCTATAAAATGGATATAAAACTAATAGTTCATAGAGTATTCTGAGGATCATCATAGTAAAGTACTGTGTAAACATTAGCAATTATAGTCATTAGTCACTTAACAATGGCATAAGTTCTGAGAAATGCATCCTTAGGTGGTTTCAGCATTGTGTGAACATCATAGAATGTACTTACACAAAACTGGGTGGTGTATATATATATATATATATTTTTTTCTAATGTGGAAAACCAAATGTCTCAGTACTGAGTATCAATAATTTCTCCCAATCATTTCTCCTACTTGATTCGCAATGCTAATATCAACTGCCACATATCAAATTTTTGTATATGCTCCATCATCATCTTATGGGACCACCACCATATGTGCAGTCCTTCCTTAACTGAAACATCCTTGAAGTTCATGACTGTATTTTTTAAAATTTCTTGAGAATTATTTGCTCTTTCTATACTGTTAGCTTTTCCAGATGCCATATAAGTAGAAATATATAGTATGTGGCATTTCATGTTGGGCTTCTTTCACTTAGTATAATGATTTTTGAGATTCACCCATGTTGTTAGGTGTATTTGTAGTTCCTTGTCAATGCTAAATGGATTTCAGTGTGTGGATGGACTCTGATTTGTTTATCCATTCACCAGTTGATGAACCTGTGGGTTGTTTTCAGGTTTTGGCTGATGAGAATAAAGCTTCTAGAAACATTCACATACAAATTTTTGGGTGGACGTATTTTCATTTCTCTTGGATTAATACCTAAGATTGGTATTGCTGCTCCATATGGTAAATTTATGTTTAACAAGAAATTACCAAACTATTTTCCAACATGTTTACACCACTTTATATTCTCACCGGCAGTGCTCTGCATCCTTGGTAGTACTTAGTATTGCTAGGTTTTGTTTTGTTTTGTGGTGTTGTCATCATTGTTTGTATAGTGGTATGTTACTATGGTTTTAATTTGCATTTTTCTATGCAAATAGTGTTGAGCGTTTTTTCATGTGTTTATTTGTTAACCATCTCTTTGATGAAGTGTCTGTTCAAATCTTTTGCCATATTTAAAATTGAGTTGTTTTCTTGTTAAACTTTGAGAGTTCTTTTTTTTTCCATTTTTTAAATTATTTCAGCATATTATGGGGGTACAAATGTTAAGGTTACGTATATTGCCCATGACCCCATCCCCCCTTGAGTCAGAGTTTCAAGCGTGACCATCCCCCAAACGTTGCACATCTCACTCATGTTTGTATATACCCCTCCTCTCCTCCCCCCTCCCACCCTCCTGACCCCCAATAAATGTTATTCCTATATGTCCACTTAGGTGTTGATCCGTTAATACCAATTTACTGGTGAGTACATTTGGTTCTTGTTTTTCCATTCTTGAGATACTTCACTTAGTAGAATGGGTTCCAGCTCTATCCAGGAAAATACAAGAGGTGCTATAATCACCATTGTTTCTTAAAGCTGAATAGTACTCCATGGTATACATATACCACATTTTATTAATCCACCCATGTATTGATGGTCACCTGGGTTGTTTCCATACCTTTGCGATTGTGAACTGTGCTGCTATAAACATTCGAGTCCAAGTGTCCCATTTATAGAGTGTCATTTGATCTTTTGGGTAGATACCCAGTAGTGGAATTGCTGGATCAAATGGTAGATCTACTTGTATCACTTTAAGGTATCTCCATATTGCTTTCCATAGAGGCCAAACCAGTTTGCAGTCCCACCAGCAGTGTAGGAGTGTTCCTATCTCTCTGCATCCAGGCCAACATTTATTGTTTGGGGACTTTTTGATAAAGGCCATTCTTACTGGAGATAAGTGATATCTCATTGCAGTTTTGATTTGCATTTCCCTGATGATTAGAGATGTTGAGCATTTTTTTCATGTATTTGTTGGCCTTTATTCTGTCGTCTTTTGAAAAATTTCTGTTTATGTCCTTTGCCTACTTTTTGGTAGGGTTGTTTGATTTTTCCTTGCTGATTTTCCTGAGTTCTAAATAAATTCAAGTTATCAGCCCTTTATCGGTTGTGTAGCTTGCAAAAATTTTCTCCCATTCTGTGGGTTGACTGTTTGCTCTCTTGACAGTTTCTTTGGCTGTGCAGAAGCTTTTTAATTTGATCAGGTCCCATTTATTTATTTTTGTTGCTGCTGTGATTGCCTTTGAGGTCTTCTTAAAAATTCTTTGCCTAGTCAATGTCTAGAAGAGTATTTCCAACGTTTTCCTGTAGAATTCTAATAGTTTCACACCTAATGTTCAAGTCTGTTACCCAGCGTGAGTTGATTTTTGTGAGAGGTGAAAGGTGTGGGTCCTGTTTCAGAGAGTTCTTTATAAATTCTAGATACAAGTTCTTTATCTTACATATGTATGGTAAATATTTTCTACCAGCTACAATTTGTCTTATTTTTTAAACAATATCTTTAAAAGAATAAAAGATAAAAATAAAGATAAAGATTTTTTTTATTTAAAAAAATTTTTCTTTATGGATTGGTGTTTTTTGTTTGCTATCTAGGAAGTTGTTACCTAACCTAAGCTCACAAAGATTTTTTGTTGTTGTTTTCTAGAAGTTGTATAGTTTTATGTTTTACATTTAGGTCTGTGACCCATCATAATTTAATTTTTACATATGGTGAGGTCTGAATTGAAGTTCATCTTTTTTTTTTTTTTTTTTTTTTTTGAGTCAGAGTCTCTGTTGCCTGGGCTAGAGTGCCATGACATCAGCCTAGCTCACAGCAACTTCAAACGCCTGGGGTCAGGCGATCCTTCTGCCTCAGCCTCCCAAGTAGCTGAGACTACAGGCATCCCCCACTATGCCTGGCTAATTTTTTGTATATATAATTTTAGTTGGTCAATTAATTTCTT